TACTTTGGATTCCAGGGTGCTGGGGGTGCTGAGGGGCCCTGGGGGGGTCCGGCCCCCGCCGGGGTCTGCTCTGACAGGGGGGAGAAGGGGCATCGTTGAGGTTAAAGGGGTGAGAGTGGCCATCAGTGTGTTGAAAGGGGTCAGGGCTCAGCCGGGGCGCAAAGCCCCGTGTTGGGTGCTGCGGGCAAAGGGGAAGGAGAAGGAGAAGGGGAAAGGGAAAGGGAAGGTGATGGAGGAAAAGGGAAAGGAGAAAGAGAAGGAGGAGATGGAGGAAAAGGGAAAGGAAAAGCGATCAAAGCCTGGCTGTTGGTGCTGGATTGAGCAGCTCTGCTGGTTCCCACATCCCTTTGGAGCACAGACCACGGGAATGGGCTCATTATCCCACAGGGCCCTGGTTTGGGATTGTGGGGTTCCAGGTGTTAATCCCATTGGATGCTGCAGTCACACCAGCGCCCAGGTTCAGTGTTCAGGGGGTAGAAACCACCTCGATTTAGGGGAACAGCCAGAGCTGGATCTCTTTGGGTGCTGCTGGGGGGGGGGCTTTTGGGTGCCCCCATTGAGAGGGGGCTGCAAAGGAGATGCCAACACTTTACACACCCCAACCCTCTGCCCAAGCATTAGCCTGACCATGAGGGGCTTTGCATGGAGGGTTAATTAGTGGGACACTAATAAGGTTTAATGATCTCAGCTGGGGTGACCCAGCACCCACTGGACCTATTTAAGCTCAGCTGCAGAGCCTGGTGCTGCTGGTACATGGGTTCATGGGGATGTGTGGCTATGGAAAAGGGGGAGGACAAGGATGGGATGGGGAAAAGGAGAGTGAAAAGGAGAAAGAGATGGGGAAAAGGAGAGTGAAAAGGAGAATGAAAAGGAGAATGAAAAGGAGAAAGAGATGGGGAAAAGGAGAATGAAAAGGATAATGATGAGGTAGAAGGAAAGAGATGGAGAAGGTGAGAAGGTGCCTGTTGACCAGGAGGTAGCACAGCCGGGGCTGTAAAGAGCCATATATCCACAGAGGGATGCTGGGGACCCCCACAGGCCCCTTTGGAGGGGGGTAGGGGTGAGCACAACGCCCTGAGGGCACCCAAGGGTGGGATGTGACACACACGGAGCCGAGTGTCTCCTTTTGGCACCTCGGTCTCATGGCACATCCT